GCACCACATCAAAGGGACAATGGACGGGGCAATGTACCCTCAAATCTTGGGTGAGAACCTTCTTCCCTCAGCCAGGGCATTGAAAATGGGTGGTGGATGGGTGTTCCAGCATGACAATGACCCAAAACACACGGCCAAGGCAACAAAGGAGCGGCTCAAGAAGAAGCACATTAAGGTCCTGGAGTGGCCTAGCCAGTCTCCACACCTTCATCCGATTGAAAATATGTGGAGGGACCTGAAAGTTCAGGTTGCCAAACGTCAGCCACCAAACCTTAATGACTTGGAGTGGATCTGCCAAGAGGAGTGGGCCAAAATCCCTCCTGAGATGTGTGCGAACCTGGGGGCCAACTCCAGGAAACGTCTGACCTCTGTGATTGCCAACAAGGGATTGGCCACCAAGTACTAAGTCATGTTTTGTGAAGGGGATCAAATCCTTCTTTCCCTCATGAACATGCAGATCCGTCATCATTTGTTAGACGCATTTCTGCTGAATTTGTTGTTGTATTCTGTCTCTCAGTGTTACACCGAACATTCCATTGTTAGACCGATCATTTCTGTGTGAGGGGCGAACATTCCATTGTTAGACCGATCATTTCAGTGTGAGGGGCGAACATTCCATTGTTAGACCGATCATTTCTGTGTGAGGGGCGAACATTCCATTGTTAGACCGATCATTTCTGTGTGAGGGCGAACATTTCATTGTTAGACCGATCATTTCTGTGTGAGGGCGAACATTCCATTGTTAGACCGATCATTTCTGTGTGAGGGGCGAACATTCACCATCAGCCAGGGAGTGAATACGCATTTCCTTATTGTATGACTACTAATGAAGAGGACTTGGGTGACCTGCTAGTGGAAACTGAGACCCAAAGAAAAGGTCTCAATGCTCAGGAACCATGCTGGAGGAGGAAAAGTCTGATACTTGCCCAGATGCAAACTCCACCTGAGGGCACAATATAGTCCTCGGCACATCAGATCTGGGAGGGATCCACAGCAACGTGACAAGAAACAAATCTGCCGGGGCGGGATTAATAGAACATTCATTTGTAGACAAATATCCTCACTTACATCTGGGCTGAAGATAGGAAGCTCTGAGGGATGTGGATGTGAACAACAATGGTGGTGAACAGAACGGCAGGTAAACTGGGCCCCTCTTTGGCAAAGGGGATGGGGCCCCTGAAATTCATAGTGCCCGCCTACTTCCCTGCTCCATTATGACTGCTGAGCATAGAGGAGGGCTATTTGTTGGTTTGGCAGGTCTGGTTTTATGTTCTGCACTCCATTACCAGATGTTCTGTTCCCCACCATTGTTGTCACATCATCTCCCTCTCCCTCTGAGCTTCCTATCTTCAGCCCAGATGTAAGTCAGGCTATCGATCTACAAGTAAAGGTTCCAATCGTCCATTAGTCCTGTGTCCTGGCAGCTTCCCTTCTTCTCTCCACTTCTAACTGACCACCTGAATGTCTGGGACTCTTCTGCTGCCTATTACTCCCCGTCGCACTACAATGACCAGCAATGCAAACCAAGGAAGGAACTCTTCATATCCCACACGGCTCCACAGTATACGAGTCTGTCACCTACATGGGGGTCACATAGGACTCCTCCTAATACATGGAGATCTACATCCCACACGGCTCCACCAGTATACCAGTCTGTCACCTACATGGGGTCACATAGGACTCCTCCTAATACATGGAACTCTACATCCCACATGGCTCCACCATCATACAAGTCTGTCACCATCACACAGACATCCTCTACCACATGGGGGTCACGTAGGACTCCTTCTAATACATGGAACTCTACATCCCACATGGCTCCACCATCATACACGTCTGTCACCATCACACAGGCCTCCTCTACCACATGGGGGTCACATAGGACTTCTCCTAATACATGGAACTCTACATTCCACATGGCTCTACCATCATACAAGTCTGTCACCATCACACAGACCTCCTCTACCACATGGGGGTCACATAGGACTCCTTCTAATACATGGAACTCTACATCCCACACGGCTCCACCATCATACAAGTCTGTCACCATCACACAGACCTCCTCTACCACATGGGGGTCACATAGGACTCCTTCTAATACATGGAGATCTACATCCCACACGGCTCCACCATCATACAAGTCTGTCACCATATAGGAATATATATTTCACAATATAGGACATGTAGCTGAGATGTGGACTGGTGCTACCAACGTCCAACCTAAATTCCACTGGAAGGTCATATACAGTCAGGTCCATAAATATTGGGACATGGACACAACTCTAACATTTTTGGTTCTATACACCACCACAATGGATTTGAAATGAAAGGAACAAGATGTGCTTTAACTGCAGACTGTCAGCTTTAATTTGAGGGTATTTACATCCAAATCAGGTGAACGGTGTAGGAATTACAACAGTTTGCATATGTGTCTCCCACTTGTTAAGGGACCAAAAGTAATGGGACAGAATAATAATCATAAATCAAACTGTCACTTTTTAATACTTGGTTGCAAATCCTTTGCAGTCAATTACAGCCTGAAGTGTGGAACGCATAGACATCCCCAGACGCTGGGTGTCATCCCTGGTGATGCTCTGCCAGGCCTTTACTGCAACTGTCTTCAGTTCCTGCTTGTTCTTGGGGCATTTTCCCTTCAGTTTTGTCTTCAGCAAGTGAAATGCTCCATCAGATTCAGGTCAGGTGATTGGCCATTGCAGAACATTCCACTTCTTTGGTGTCTTTTGCAGTCTGCTTTGGGTCATTGTCCATCTGCACTGTGAAGCGTCCAATGAGTTGTGAAGCATTTGGCTGAATATGAGCCGATAATATTCCCGAAACACTTCACAATTCATCCGGCTGCTTCTGTCAGCCGTCACATCATCAATAAATACAAGAGAAGCAGTTCCATTGGCAGCCATACATGCCCACGCCATGACACTACCACCACCATGATCACTGATGAGGTGGTATGCTGAGGACCATGAGCAGTTCCTTCTCCATACTCTTCTCTTCCCATCACTCTGGTACAAGTTGATGTCGGTCTCATCTGTCCATAGGATGTTGTTCCAGAACTGTGAAGGCTTTTTTACATGTCGTTTGGCAAACTCTAATCTGGCCTTCCTGTGTTTGAGGCTCACCAATGGTTTCCATCTTGTGGTGAACCCTCTGTATTCACTCTGGTGAAGTCTTCTCTTGATTGGTGACTTTGACACACATACACCTACCTCCTGGAGGGTGTTCTTGATCTGGCCAACTGTTGTGAAGGGTGTTTTCTTCACCAGGGAAAGAATTCTTCGCTCATCCACCACAGTTGTTTTCCGTGGTCTTCCGGGTCTTTTGGTGTTGCTGAGCTCACCGGTGCGTTCCTTCTTTTTAAGAATGTTCCAAGCAGTTGTTTTGGCCACGCCTAATGTTTTTGCTATCTCTCTGATGGGTTTGTTTTGTTTTTTCAGCCTAATGATGGCTTCACTGATAGTGACAGCTCTTTGGATCTCATCTTGAGAGTTGACAGCAACAGATTCCAAATGCAAATAGCACACTTGAAATGAACTCTGGACCTTTTATCTGCTCATTGTAATTGGGATAATGAGGGAATAACACACACCTGGCCATGGAACAGCTGAGAAGCCAATTGTCCCATTACTTTTGGTCCCTAACAAGTGGGAGGCACATATGCAAACTGTTGTAATTCCTACACCGTTCACCTGATTTGGATGTAAATACCCTCAAATTAAAGATGACAGTCTGCAGTTAAAGCACATCTTGTTAGTTTCATTTCAAATCCATTGTGGTGTATAGAGCCAAAAATGTTAGAATTGTGTTGATGTCCCAATATTTATGGACCTGACTGTAAGTTGTCCTAAGTGAGCAGTAATACGATATTCTCCACATATGAGGCCCGGCGTGAATCCTGAGGCGGAAGGCATTAAGCGGGATTCCTTCAGACGACCGTAATAAATATGGAGGAAGTGTGGCATTAGGATATATGCTTCATGTTGGAATATTGTATCTCAGGCTTAAGGAAGGGCACCTGGAGTTTCGGGTCACATGGAAGTTACGGGGAAAATGATCTAGCCCAAGTGTTTGGTGGTTTCTCATTCACATCTCTTCAGGTTTTATTGTGGGATTCAAGCTGGGACCCCTAGAAGTCCTCAGACCAGGATGGGATATGGAGAGTTCAACGTGTCCCCATCTGCTGCAGTAACAATGTGAAGAACTCCTAAGATGGCTATTTGGTCCTCTGTATACAACCCAGAGGCCCATGGTGCAGTGCCCCCCTCCTGCTCTCCCTCTTCCCTGCCTCCTCCCAACCAACCCCCATCCCAGGCTGAAGCTCCACTCCAGGTGCTCTCTGCTCACCAGGTTGGGCTGGACAGCATTCCTGAACTAGCCATCAAGGAGCATCCAGGGCTGCAGGGGGGAGCTGGGGTGGCATGGTCAGGGCTGGCCAGGGTGGAGAGCCTCTGTTGGGGCATGGAGCTGGCCTCTGCTTGGACATAGCATACACCATCCATGCTGGGGGGGCAGCCTGCACTCTGTCCTTGTCCTCATTCCACACTTGGTAGGAGACTGGCAGGCAGGGCCAGATTATGAGCATCAAAGGCCTGGTGCTCAGGATATTGATGGGCCTTAAGGGCTTTGCTTCAGCATGTGCCTGAGGTCAGAGGGCAGAAACACAGGCATAACACTGTGGAAGCCTGGCATTTGATTTGACAGGCTTCAGTAAGGCTTCCAGTGGAGGGATTGGCAGAGAGGGGTGGAGGACACTGAGTGGAGGTCAGTGGAGGGATTGGCAGGGAGGGTGGAGGACACAGAATGGAGGCCAGTGGAGGGATTGGCAGAGAGGGGTGGAGGACACTGAATGGAGGCCAGTGGAGGGATTGGCAGGTGGAGGACAGTGAATGGAGATCAGGGGAGAGATTAGCAGAGAGGGTTGGAGGACACTGAGTGGAGGCCAGTGAAGGGATTGAATGGTGGCAGAGAGGGGTGGAGGACACTGAATGGAGGCCAGTGGAGGGATTGGCAGAGGGGGGTGGAGGACACTGAGTGGAGGCCAGTGGAGGGATTGGCAGAGAGGGGTGGAGGACACTGAATGGTGGCCAGTGGAGGGATTGGCAGAGGGGGGGGGGACACATGAATGGAGGCCAGTGGAGGGATTGGCAGAGAGGGGTGGAGGACACTGAATGGAGGCCAGTGGAGGGATTGGCAGAGGGGGGGAGGACACTGAATGGTGGCCAGTGGAGGGATTGGCAGAGAGGGGTGGAGGACACTGAATGGAGGCCAGTGAAGGGATTGGCAGAGAATGGAGGACACTGAGTGGAGGCCAGTGGAGGGATTGGCAGAGAGGGGTGGAGGACACTGAATGGTGGCCAGTGGAGGGATTGGCAGAGGGGGGGGGGACACACTGAATGGAGGCCAGGGAGGGATTGGCAGAGAGGGGTGGAGGACACTGAATGGAGGCCAATGGAGGGATTGGCAGAGAGGGGTGGAGGACACTGAATGGTGGCCAGTGGAGGGATTGGCAGAGGGGGGGGGGGACACTGAATGGAGGCCAGTGGAGGGATTGGCAGAGAGGGGTGGAGGACACTGAATGGAGGCCAGTGGAGGGATTGGCAGAGAGGGGGGAGGACACTGAATGGTGGCCAGTGGAGGGATTGGCAGAGGGGGGGGGGACACACTGAATGGAGGCCAGTGGAGGGATTGGCAGAGAGGGGTGGAGGACACTGAATGGAGGCCAGTGGAGGGATTGGCAGAGAGGGGTGGAGGACACTGAATGGTGGCCAGTGGAGGGATTGGCAGAGAGGGGTGGAGGACACTGAATGGAGGCCAGTGAAGGGATTGGCAGAGGGGGGTGGAGGACACTGAGTGGAGGCCAGTGGAGGGATTGGCAGAGAGGGGTGGAGGACACTGAATGGTGGCCAGTGGAGGGATTGGCAGAGGGGGGGGGGGACACTGAATGGAGGCCAGTGGAGGGATTGGCAGAGAGGGGTGGAGGACACTGAATGGAGGCCAGTGGAGGGATTGGCAGAGAGGGGTGGAGGACACTGAATGGTGGCCAGTGGAGGGATTGGCAGAAGGGGGGGGGGGACACTGAATGGAGGCCAGTGGAGGGATTGGCAGAGAGGGGTGGAGGACACTGAATGGAGGCCAGTGGAGGGATTGGCAGAGAGGGGGGGAGGACACTGAATGGTGGCCAGTGGAGGGATTGGCAGAGGGGGGTGGAGGACACTGAATGGAGGTCAGTGGAGGGATTGGCAGAGAGGGGGGGGAGGACACTGAATGGAGGCCAAAGGAGTGACTGGTAGAGAGGGGTGGAGGATGGCTGGAAAGGTGGATGCGTCTGGCAGCAGCATCCATGATGGACTGGAGGGGGATAACCTATGTAAAGGTCAGCCAATGAGGAGGGAGTTGCAGTAGTCGAGGCGAGAGATGACCAGGGAGTGAATTAGCAGCTTTGTGGTGTCGTTGGTTAGGAATCTTTGGAGAGGGATTGGATGAGGCTGAGAGGAGAGTTCAGAGTCCAGGATTACACTCAACACCCTGGCATGCGGGGACGGGTTGATGGCAGTGCCATTGATCTTGATAGGGAAGTGGGGTAGGGTCCAAGAACGGCTTTTTAACTAGCACATGTTTTAGAGAATTGGAGAAGATGCCAGAAGAGAAGGAGAGATTAAATGTGTGTTAGAGAGTGCAGGAGAAAGCCAGAGGGTGACCACAGTATTTGAGCGGGAACATGGTCCAGGAAGTAGGTGGTTAGGTGGGCGTTAGAGCAACCTAGTCTATAGTAGCGGGGATGAACGAGGGAAGTGTTGGGTGTACCTGTGGTCATAGATTGTTAGGTGGTGGAGATATCTGCACAGCAGAGATCTCACGAATTATAGTAATCTTACATTTGAAGTGATTGGGGGTCTCCCGGGCAGTGAAGGACTTAGTGGGTGGAGGCAGTGGAGGATGAAGAAGAGAGTTGAAGGTAGAGAAGAGTTGATGGACTGGATGAGAAGGTGTTAACGAGAGTGATAAAATAGGTCTGCTTGGCAGTGAGGAGGCAAGAATTGGATTTTTGAAGGGAAGATTTACAGTATATTGGTTGAAATCTTTCTGAGACCTAGTCTTGTGACTACAGACACTCAAGGGTCTACGGGTCTCTAAGGGTCTAAGGGTCTAAGGGTCTAAGAGTCTAAGGGTCTAAGAGTCTAAGGGTCTAAGAGTCTAAGGTCTAAGGGTCTAAGAGAGTCTAAGGGTCTAAGGGTCGGGAGTCCTGATCTAAGTATGTGTATTGTATGAGGGGGGGCAAGTGTGTCCAGGATGAAGGACAGGGATCTATTGTAGTCAGAAGGGGATGGATTGGGGCAGGACATTGTGAGATTTTGTCTTAGAGGTGGTCAGTAGCAGAGAAGAGAAGGGTTAAAGTGGTGAAGGTCTCTGGGTAATTGTTAGTCAGTTGGAGGGAGAGGAGATGGAAGACAGGGAGAGATGGAAACTAACAAGGTGGTGATCAGAGAGAGGAAAAGGCTGGTTGGAGAGGTTGGATGGAGTGCAGAGGTAGGAGAACACAAGGTCCAGCATGTATCTATTGCTTGAGGCCAGAAGAGGACGTTAGTCTGAGAAGTTTAGAAGTAGCAGAGTGTTAGTATTAACAGGGATAGGACATTGTTTGGTGATGTGTTTTAGGGTGGAGGTGGGGTGGGGATGGTGGTGGGTAGGACATGATTTGGTGATGGTGGTGGGTTCAGGGTGGAGGTGGGGTAGGATATGATTTGGTGATGGTGGTGGGTTCAGGGTGGAGGTGGGGTTGGGGTAGGATATGATTTGGTGATGGTGGTGGGTTCAGGGTGGAGGTGGGGTTGGGGTAGGACATGATTTGGTGATGGTGGTGGGTTCAGGGTGGAGGTGGGTAGGATATGATTTGGTGATGGTGGTGGGTTCAGGGTGGAGGTGGGGTAGGATATGATTTGGTGATGGTGGTGGGTTCAGGGTGGAGGTGGGGTTGGGGTAGGACATGACTCAGTGATGGTGGTGGGTTCAGGGTGGAGGTGGGGTAGGATATGATTTGGTGATGGTGGTGGGTTCAGGGTGGAGGTGGGGGAGTAGGACATTATTTGGTGATGGTGGTGGGTTCAGGGTGGAGGTGGGGTTGGAGTAGGACATGATTTGGTGATGGTGGTGGGTTCAGGGTGGAGGTGGGGTTGGGGTAGGACATGACTCAGTGATGGTGGTGGGTTCAGGGTGGAAGTGGGGTTGGGGTAGGACATGATTTGGTGATGGTGGTGGGTTCAGGGTGGAGGTGGGGTAGGATTAGGACATTTTTGGTGAGGTGGTTTCAGGGTGGAGGTGGGGTTGGAGTAGGACATGGTGGTGGTGGGTTCAGGGTGGAGGTGGGTTTAGGACATGGTAGTGATGGTGGTGGGTTCAGGGTGGAGGTGGGGTTGGGGTAGGACATTGTTTCAGTGAGGTGGTTGGTTCAGGGTGGTGGGGTTTCAGGGTGGTGGTGGAGGTTTCAGGGTGGAGGTGGGTTCAGGGTGGTGGTGGGTTCAGGGTGGAGGTGGTTTCAGGGTAGAGGTGGGTTCAGGGTGGAGGTGGGTCCAGGGAGGTGGTTGGTTCAGGGAGGTGGTTGGTTCAGGGTGGAGGTGGGTTCAGGGTGGTGGTGGGTTCAGGGTGGAGGTGGGTTCAGGGTGGTTTTCAGTGGTTCAGGGTGGAGAATGTTTTGTGTCTCAGAATACTGCAGCACAGACAGTAATATATTCATGAAGGACGGATGGATGTCACGTGACTCGTGGATCCCTGGTGGCTCCTGGACCATTTTTCCTCATTTAGGATCTGGTGTAACAGTTGGACACATATGAGGATCATGTGACTCGTCTGTAGATCATGGGCTGAGTGTCAGTATGTCGGTCCATCGGACGGTACATCACCACACATGATTCTGCTGCCTTAGAACGATGTTAGCGTATCGGTGTCACTCATCGAAGCGCGGCCAACAGCCTCATTCATCAAAGTGTCACTCATCCAGGTGTCACTCTTCATCTGACCATGGTATCCAGGTGTCACTCTTCATCTGACCATGGTACCCAGGTGTCACTCTTCATCTGACCATGGTATCCAGGTGTCACTCTTCATCTGACCATGGTACCCAGGTGTCACTCTTCATCTGACCATGGTATCCAGGTGTCACTCTTCATCTGACCATGGTATCCAGGTGTCACTCTTCATCTGACCATGGTATCCAGGTGTCACTCTTCATCTGACCATGGTATCCAGGTGTCACTCTTCATCTGACCATGGTATCCAGGTGTCACTCTTCATCTGACCATGGTATCCAGGTGTCACTCTTCATCTGACCATGGTATTCAGGTGTCACTCTTCATCCTACCAGAGAATCCAGGTGTCACTCTTCATCTGACCATGGTATCCAGGTGTCACTCTTCATCTGACCATGGTATCCAGGTGTCACTCTTCATCTGACCATGGTATCCAGGTGTCACTCTTCATCTGACCATGGTATCCAGGTGTCACTCTTTCATCTGACATGGTATCCAGGTGTCACTCTTCATCCTACCAGAGAATCCAGGTGTCACTCTTCATCTGACCATGGTATCCAGGTGTCACTCTTCATCTGACCATGGTATCCCAGGTGTCACTCTTCATCTGGCCATGGTATCCAGGTGTCACTCTTCATCCTACCAGAGAATCCAGGTGTCACTCTTCATCTGACCATGGTATCCAGGTGTCACTCTTCATCTGACCATGGTATCCAGGTCACTCTTCATCTGACCATGGTATCCAGGTGTCACTCTTCATCTGACCATGGTATCCAGGTGTCACTCTTCATCTGACCATGGTATCCAGGTGTCACTCTTCATCTACCAGAGAATCCAGGTGTCACTCTTCATCTGACCATGGTATCCAGGTGTCACTCTTCATCTGACCATGGTATCCAGGTGTCACTCTTCATCTGACCATGGTATCCAGGTGTCACTCTTCATCCTACCAGAGAATCCAGGTGTCACTCTTCATCTGACCATGGTATCCAGGTGTCACTCTTCATCTGACCATGGTATCCAGGTGTCACTCTTCATCTGACCATGGTATCCAGGTGTCACTCTTCATCTGACCATGGTATCCAGGTGTCACTCTTCATCTGACCATGGTATCCAGGTGTCACTCTTCATCTGACCATGGTATCCAGGTGTCACTCTTCATCTGACCATGGTATCCAGGTGTCACTCTTCATCTGACCATGGTATCCAGGTGTCACTCTTCATCCTACCAGAGAATCCAGGTGTCACTCTTCATCTGACCATGGTATCCAGGTGTCACTCTTCATCTGACCATGGTATCCAGGTGTCACTCTTCATCCTACCAGAGAATCCAGGTGTCACTCTTCATCTGACCATGGTATCCAGGTGTCAGGTGTATTTTTACAGTTAGTTGAGATCTGAAAATGACTGATGTAGCCACAGCTACTACCCCTCTACTACAGCACTACAACCCCCTCTACTACAGCACTGTTACCCCTCTACTACATCACTACTACCCCTCTACTACACCACTACTACCCTTCCCCTACTACAACCACTACTACCCCTCTACTACACCACTGCTACTTCTCTACTACACCACTGCTACCCCTCTACTACACCACTGCTACTTCTCTACTACACCACTGCTACCCCTCTACTACACCACTGCTACCCCTCTACTACACCACTACTACCCCTCTACTACACCACTGCTACCCCTCTACTACACCACTGCTACCCCTCTACTACACCACTGCTACCCCTCTACTACATCACTACTGCTACCCTCTACTACACCACTGCTACCTCTCTACTACACCACCTACCTCTCTACTACACCCTATTACACCTCTACTGCCCCACTACTACCCCTCTACTACACCAATGTTACCCTTTACTACATCTCTATTACACAACTACTACTCCTCTACTACACCACTACTACCCCTACTACACCACTACTGCAACCTACAACCCCTCTACTACAACTACACTACTACTACCACCCGTCTACTGCACTACTTCTACACCTCTACTACACCCCTACAACCCCTCTACTACACTACTGCTACCTTCTCTACTACAGCACTGCTACGCCCGCTACTACACCATTGCTACCCCTCTACTACACCACTGCTACACCGCTACTACACTACTGCTACCCCTCTACTACACCACTGCTACCCCTCTAATA